GCTTTCACTCTGCGTGACGGGGGTGTTAGTTTGTGCTGAAGGCTACACGCAAGTGACAGGAGTGATGGCGATGATGATGACTGGCCGTGTGCTGCTGGTGTGTGCCCTCTGCGTGCTGTGGTGCGGTATTGATGGAGTTGCTGAGACCGAGGAACCTGGAATTGGAGTGGTGCCCGGTGTGGATGAGTATTTGGTTGTGCAGTGGCGTACGCGGCTGCGAAGGGAATGCGCGTAGGAGGTCAGCAGGAGGACAGGAGGCAGGGCGAATGCGTCCACCGTTGAGGAATGTGTGTGTGAGGGAATGGAGGGTTTGCGTGCCGTTGTGGATGGCCGCAGTCGTTGGAGACGTCAAAGTCCTGCCGTTGCTGCTCCTCCTCCTGCTGAAGATAGTGGAGACAGGGAAGCCAGCACGGTGGAAGTTGACAGGACAAAGATCAACGAGGCTTCGCCGTCCGAAGATGAAAATGAATTATTGGTGGATTCAAGAGAAGCATTAACCGGTAAAACAACAGAAATTCAAAAGAAGTTACTGCATTCCGAAACTGCTATCGTGCCGCCTCAAAAAGGAACTTCAGTTCCAGGACATGGAGACGAGAAAAAGACAGAGAACCGAGAAGAAAGAGACGATGGAAAAAAAAAGGCGGCAGAAGAAGACGAGACAGAAGAGGAAGAAGAAGAAGATAAAGCTGAAAGTGCAGAAGAGGAAGAGGCTGCACAAGACCACGAAGATGAAAGAGAGGAGGAGAAAGAGGGAGAAAACAAAGAAGATAAAGAAAAAGAAGAAGGTGAGAAAAACACAAGGAAAGAAGAAGACAAGTATGGGGTGGAAGATGAAGAGGATGAAGAAAAGGATGATGACAACACCTCAGAGGGGATGCCGGCTGGCGGTCAAGAGAAAAGAAATTCAACTTCAGGTCCGGAAGGAGCACCGAATAAGACGAACACCGAAGGCACTCAAAAGGCTGGCGACAGTGACGGCAACACCGCGGCCTCCCACACCACCTCCCCTCTTTTGCTTCTTCTTGTTCTTGTTGTGTGTGCGGCTGCTGCTGCTGTGGTGGCCGTGCCTGCATGAAGTGGTGTGCGCCGAATATGAACGAAGGCCAAAAGGCAAATGAATTATTTTTGTGATGAATGCTGGCTGCACTTCCCGTGGACCAACAATCCACGTGGTGTGCGGGGACCATTCCTTTTTAATTGTTACTTTGCTTTTGTGTTGCTGTGTGCGCTGCACCTCCTCTTGTGTGTGTGCGCACCCTCCGTGAGGGGTGCCGACACGACGGACCGCTCTCGCCGTATTTAAATGCGGTGGAGCCTTGTGTGCCGCTCCTGTTTGCTTCTCCCTCTTCCATCTGTGTGTTGGTGCTGCGGCAGGGCTGTGTGTGTGTGTGTGCCTGCTGCCGTGGATTGGAGTGTGTGTTGGTGTGCGGCGTACGGTGCATGCCTGGCTGCTGCCCTCTCCTCATGTGGTGTGCCCTCTGTGTGTGTGTCTGCCGCACCTCTCGTTTCCCCTGTTGCTCTCCATGTCCCTCACTGTGCAGATCAGCTCCACACCACTGAACGACCACACTCACGATGATGAAGTGCCGTCTGCTGTGCGCCCTGTTGGTGCTCGCTTTGTGCTGCTGCCCATCTGTGTGTGTGGCAACGAGTGAAGTTAAGGTCTCACTTAAAGGCAATGATGCAGAGATTCCTCAGCCAAAAGTGCAAGATAACCCCAATGAGGGAAAGAATCGAAATACGGATGCTGTTACGTTACTGTCAAGAAATGAGGCGTCCGGTGCGGGACCAGATCAAAAGGAAAACACCGGTCCGTTAAATGGACCAGATACACCCAATGCTGGAGGTGATGGAAACAAAGCAGGTACGGCAATAAAACCAAGTACTACGACAACTACAACCACGACAAATGCACCAACTACAACTACGACAACGACCACAAAAGCACCCAATACAACTACGAGCACGACAACTACAACCACTACGACGACCACCCGCGCACCGTCACGTCTCCGTGAAATCGACGGCAGCCTCAGCAGCTCTGCGTGGGTTTGTGCCCCGCTGCTGCTCGCCGCATCCGCGCTGGCGTGCGCTGCTGTGGGCTAAAAGGGAGCGTGGGCTGTGCGTGCCAGCACTCAGCCACGGGGACATGTGTACGTCTACTGTGGTCCGATGTATGAAGTAAGAGTAATTATGATGATTGTTTTTTGCTTTGTTTGCTTCCGCTGCCCTGCTGTGTGCTCCGCGTTGCTTCCCAACATCCGTCACGTTGAACGCGTCGCAGACACACTCATATGCATGACACGCACGCAACTGTTTGCGTGGAATCACTGTTGAGGATAGGTGCATGTGCACTGGTGCCACTTGGGTGCAGGTTTTTGTGTTTTGTGTTTTTAATATTTTACTTTATTGCTGCTTGTTTTTTTTTTTGTTTGGTTCTTCCTTGTTTTTCTTTGTGCGTTTTTGTTGTTTTTAGATTATTGCAGGTCGCTGTGCGTTTTTTGCACTTTCATTGGTTCAATATTTCTCATGAAACGCGTGCTGCTGCTGGTGGTGGTGTTTTTTACTGTGGTGTGACTTGTCTCTCCTTGTTGCTTTCACTCTGCGTTGACGGGGAGTTGGTTTGTGCTGAAGGCTGCACGCAAGTGACGGGAGTGATGGCGATGATGATGACTGGCCGTGTGCTGCTGGTGTGTGCTCTCTGCGTGCTGTATTGCGGTGCCGGCTGTGGTGCGGCCGAGGAACCTGGAGGAGCGGCAGAGCCCGATGTGGTGCCACTTGGTTCTACTCAGCAACAAATAACAGGTGGCAGTCAACGAGAAGATAAAGGTGCCAAAGAAGAACAAGGACAGGGAAGGGATACAAACAATGGAGATGAACAACCAATAAAAAAAGAAGAAGCAGATGAACAACAAAGCCAAGAACAAATCCAAACACAACAAGACGCTCAAGCACTAAAAGGAAATGCAACACCCCAGCCCGCAGGAAAATCATCGGAAGAAGGCGAAATTGATGACGATTCGGACGTTCAAAATGAAATAAAAGTTTTGGATGATGGGAAACGAAACGAAGAAAGGGTTCAGAGCCAAGAAGAAGTTGCACGTGACGAAGACGCTTCGACAGTGAATTTAAATGACAGCCAGCAGGAAACATCAGGAGGCATACGTACAGGAGACCTTCGGGGAAAAAGCCGACAAGAAGGTGAAAAAGAAGAGGATGATGGGGGGAAAAAAGAACGGGAAAAACACCAAAAGGACAACAAACGAAAACCACAAGAACAAAATGAAATGCTGCAGCAAAAGCAACAACAA